GTTTTTTTTTTTTTTTTTTTTTTTTTTTTTTTTTTTTGGGGGGGGGGAGGGGGGGGAACCTTTGAGACAATGTTGTCTCCTGTTGATTGCCTAGTCCAATTCACGTAATTTGTTGACAACATATTTAGAAGTGTTTTAACATTGCCTTCTTCCTTAATCCTTCATAGCGAGTGACTGGTCCAAAGTCATGCAGATGTTTTTCATACCTAAGGGAAGACTAGAACTCAGTGTCTCCTGTCCAATGCCTTTAACCAGGGATCCTCAAAACTACGGCCCGCGGGCTGGATACGGCCCAAAGACACAATGTATCCGGCCCACACAGTGATGGGATTAAGCCCCGCCCCTTGCCTCCCACCCATTCCCTGTGTGGCTGATTTTTCCCATCGCCCCTCCTACAGTCGTAGGCCTAATATATACTGTACCTTGAAGACTGCAGCCGCACTTCTGTGTACTTCTGCTCACCGCTGCTTGCAAAGGTAAGGGTGTGAGTTGGTGAGTGGGCAGGGAAGGAAGAGCTGGCAGAGGGGTGATACTGTCAGCTGAAGGACTGATGTGTGCAGGGAGAGAGGGGAGCACATGGGGGACGATGGAATCAGAGCCCTTCCTGGGTGTTTGCAGAAACTGCCCTGCCTAAATGGGGAGGGAGGAGAGCATGTGAGATAACTTGGCTTTGGAGAGAGATATAGACAGAGAGAGACTTGTTGATTGTAAGCTTCTTGGGGCTGAGAAGAATTGCTGCAAAACTTGAGTTTCCTGAGTTTTAAAGGAGCCTGAAGCTGCTGTTGTAATAAGTTAGGCAAATGGCAACACTGCTAAATTGGCCATGCCCTCAGTCACATGACCACATAGCCATGCCTCACCAGCCAGTCCGCCCCCCCCCCAACAGTCTGAGGGACTGTGAATTGGCCCCCTGCTTAAAAAACTGACAAATTGACTTTAACAATTGCAAAAAGCTGGGTTTCTCTCCTCGCCTAATCCATCATTATTTTCAGTCTCCATTGACACTTCTTCTTGATACTTCATGACAACTGGAGAAGGAAGAAAAGTGATTTGCAGCTGTCGCTATGGTATTATACAGGTAGCTTATGAAAATATATTTCCATCTGAAAATTTGAAAGCCAAGGGGAGGGGGAGAAAAGAAAATTTCTCTTTCCTAACCTTTTTTCTGAAAAAAGAAAAACCAAACTTTTTTTCATTAATATAGAAAACTTAAATCCATTTCCTGTGTGGAAAGGATACAGGACATGGAAAAAAGATGGTCCCATTGGGGATTAAATCGCAATACTTATAACTTTGTAATAACTTTTCATTTTTTAAAAGTACAAATAATCTTAGAAAAGTAACTATTCAGATTATTTAGACATCATCCCAAAACAAATGGTCAGATTATGGCTTCTCAGTATATATGGATCAAAACAATTATTTTCTTTTTCTTTTTAAGGATATAGCCTTTTCCAGTTATATTAGTAGAAATCACAATGTGGTAAACGCCAGAATATCTTAAACAAAAGCACAAAAAGGGTCATTCATTTGATTAATGATGTTAACAAGAATATAAATAAAGAAGCAGTGCTATCCACATTTTACTAAATAAAAGTAAAAGTTTTCCCCTCAATCCCAAGCAATCAGTCACATGGCCCAATCACTGCAGCATCTGCTGATTTGGTGACATCACTCCTCCTTCTCTCAGCTAGGTGTGAGACTGTCCTTGGTTCCCAGGAGAAAGTCTTGAGAAAGCATTTTATTTTGACTACACAAGCCCAGCTATCTCTAATCCCCGCTCCCTAACCCTCGCTCCAGTGTGGCATACT